TATTGTGTCCAATTATTAGTAGTATGAATTAGTAGCACGATTTTACCCAGCGCAGCGGGTACCCGCAGCTAGTACGAAATATAAGCAGTGCATTACTTAATTTGATCGGTTGACAGATTTCGACTGAGTGGCTGGCTGGCTGCATCAGTAGTCAGTCTGCGATGCGGGGAGCCCCGTTTGAAACGATAGATTAAACGATGTCACACACACACAACAAGTGAGACTGGAGCTGCTGCTGCTGGCGTGCGTGGTGATGCTGCTGCTGCTGCTGCTGCTGTACCACCAGCAGCAGCAGCAGCAGTAGCTCCAAGAAACGGTATTGCTAGGGTTAGAATAGTTATACCCACAGGCACTTGGGACAGTCAGTAAAAACTGAAAATAATATGAACACACATTCACAAATAGGCCCTACTACCGTACCCCTCTGTTACAGTTCCACTGTTGCGTCACTGTATATCAACTTTGCGTCACTGTAAAACCTATGTAAAAACTAACGCCGAACGCTCCCGCACTCGCCGCTGCAAGTGTGCTGTGACGCTATGATAATATCAGGAGTAAGATAATATAGGATCTTATATTAGGATCCTATATTATCTTACTCCTGATAATATATATATAGATTGTCATATATATATAATGCCCCTAGACTGTTAGAATACCCCTAGAATACCCCTATTCTGTACAGACAATCCGTCGCACAGCCTGGTCGGGCTACAGCAGCAGCGGACTTGTCAGATACCAGTACAGTTCTATCTCAACGATATCAGTTCTATCTCAACGATATCAGTTCTATATCATCAGAAGTAGATAATAGCGAATCATAGGGAAGTAGATCCCTATTAGTATTATCTACTTCTGATATCATGAACGAAGTTCTAAACTGGAGAAACGAGTACCGGTACACTTACTGCACCTCAAACTCTCAAATATAACCTAAACATCATGAAAAGATAACTTTGCGAACATCGAGAATTTCGCGTCTCAACCTACAACTGCAACCGCAACCGCATCTGAAACCGAAACCAAGACCGGCTATACCCACAAATGTGGTATGACTCCCATTGAACTAAACCAAGCAATTATAAGATTTTCAGTGTCTTTAAAATCATGATACAATAACTAGTAACTTACCGAAGATTTGTGACACCTTTACATCCCTTTACATCACTACAGAATCCACTTGCGAAACGAACTTTGCGTGTGCCGCCGTATTCCACACTGTTACCGGAACAAGCGTGACTCACATTGCGTGCATGTCCGCCCCCTCCCTACCAACGCTAACTCCCATGCTACATACCCCATGCTGAGACAATGCCCCCTGTACCACACTACACAGCTAACACACACAGACAGTGGCAGACACTCTCACGGACGTGCGTGCTCACTCACGGGTAGGGTCAACCATTCCATTTAAGCGGTGTCACTTGCCGTACACGCCACCACGCGCAGATCTCACCAGATATTAATGTGAAACCCAATTAAATAATTAAAATATAATTTCGATAAACGGCCATTATGTACGCGCTTCTACAAATCGGAACCTGTTATAGAAGGAGTGAATATACCAGTTGATTATGATTCCGTGCATTTATGGTCATTCCCTCTGGCCTGTGTTATTCAGACCAGACTATAGGTTCAGATATTTCTTTGAAAAAAGGTTCAATTCTCAAAAGTAAAGTAAAAAAATCATTGTAGTAATGTAATGTGGATACCTAGGCGGTTGTTTAAATTGCAGCAAAATAACTGTTTGAACACTCTATACTGAGTATAGTGTGTAACTACAATTATCTATCATCAATTACATGCTAACGTCAGAAGAGAATAAAAACACATTTGTTTTCATTAATTCCTGCTAACGTGCAGGTTTCATTTTTTCATGTTCTCCGCGACAAATATTATGTAGTAATATATGCGTTATGGTTAATGAGCTATTATTATGACACAAGTTGAAATAACACCTAACTGGAAAATATTATGGCTTTTAGTTCCGAGACATTTATTAATATTTGCGTGATGGCATTACAACGATACTTTCCATTAAATGGTGCATTCTGCAATTATCAAAAATTGTTAAATATACACGCGTTGCACTGCACCTTTTTTACTGGCTGTGTAACTTCTACATTTCCACGTCAGTTTTTGACTCAAGACTATACATGTATGCCACACAACATGTATGCCACACAACACGTGTGCTACTTTTCGGGACCTTTCAAAGTGGCTGAAAGACCTTACATGCGTGCGCGTTCAATAGACTGGTCGTGGCCGCCCGTAAAAGTGCTCAGTGTTTATTTTTCACAAGTGCCTTTCTTTGCCTTCTGTTCAGTCATGCATCACCTCGTCATGGACTGCCAAGAGCGAGCGAGCCCTTCACAGTGTGTGAGCACGACAAAATGTTGCACATGCCCAAATTAAATCTGCTGGCAGCTTCGAACAAACCCCCTGTAAATCATGCCTGGATCGCCAACTTTAATATTACATTCTTCGCAGGTGTTCAAATAGAAAATAATTATATCTTACGACTTTCGGCAGATGCGAGATCTTGATTGCATGGTCTGTGAGCAAAATATTTAACATCACTACAGTTACCATGTGCGAATCAGGAATTTTCAAATTTTAATATTTATCATTGGGGGTTCTGCTATTTGCACAAGAGTTTGAAGATGTAAAAATAAACGCGCATATTAAATGATCAAAAGTATGCATCGAAATGTTGAAGCGCGCAAATATTCATTACTGGCCGTAATCGTGTATATGTAATCAATATATACTGACTTCAAAAAAGCATTTTCGGTTTCATAACATTACGTGCCTGATAACATTATACTCATAGAGCCGATGTTTAAATTTCCATCCATACTAAATGAAATGCATGTCAAATTTGCATAGGAAAAAGGGAGTGATGAATGAACTGTCTAGTGGCTCGTTTATTGTGGATAACATGTAAGGAAAAAAATCTGCAATATTGCCTCTAATCTGTGCCTTTGAAAGAAAAGGTTTTCTGACAAAACTTTGGGAATGCACAATGAAAGCCTGCAATTGGGTTTATTTGGTTTAGAAGTTTCACATAGTTACTGGCTGTATATCTGATGTTTTGTATTATTTCATATATGGTTTTAAAATTGATCACTGTGTAACTAACGATTTACATAGTTTAACATAACTGATGGCTATAATGACTTTTACATTGTATCACTACTGCATTCCCGTCTGTTGTTATTTTTGTGACAATCTACTATAGTAATAAAAATAATTATTAGCTATATGCTTGTCATAGTACATTTCCAGGGCTACTCATTGCCATAGGTTCGAACTCACTGCAACGTAATTATAATAAATGACATTGTTTTCAAGTCGAAATCTGTACTGTGACTCAATCGCGTGTCCCGAATATCTACTGTGACCTGGTCAACAAGTTATCACCTGCTGACCCGTTCCCACGTACATGTAAACACTGGTTTGTTTACTCGCATACAGTGTGCAGCTCAGAGTCACTCGTGGTCAGTGCATGACCATTAAGAGGTTAAAAGCCGAGGTTACTTACTAGCTTTACCTGCCTGAGAGTCTGTAACGCATTACCTACCTACATTTACATACGGAGGTGGGAGATTTGCGTATTAACTATTTATAGCCTAGTGACGTAGTGTACATAAATGCTGAGTGAAATTCACGTTGATGCACATACATGTATGTCTTGTCGACTGCAGGAAACGGACAGTACACACGATAAATTCGATCATTTTTCGGTTTACCACATGAGAGAAATACATTAACTTTCCAATACGTTATTATATACTCTTATCATAAACAGATAGCGCTTGTTTTTCTCTGCAATCGTTATGCAGGTTCCCTTTTGCAAAAAGTTACCAAATTCGCATGCTATGCATGTACACAATGTAGGTCACAGTCTACCGCCATAGGTTTTGAATGCAAAACGGCAATAAAACACAGATCTGCAGTTTGTCCATCCAAAAATTGCATTGTTTGAGCGTTTGGGACCGGTGGAACCTCAGTAACACGCAGTGAACTGTTGAGAACTCTAAAACGTGTCTACCTTGAAAGTACATGTAAAACGGGACGTGTCTACCGATGTAAAACTTGCGATCAAATGGTAATGGCGCCGCTAAAGATTCATGCTAATCACGTCCAAGCATAGATAGATAGTCACTTACCTGTGCGTACACAATACTGCAAACTGTCTCCAAATGCCGATCAGTGAGATAGATTTAGTTCAGTTGCACACGATAACGAATGACAACACGATGGTCCATACATTCGCACGCAATGCATTGAATGTGCCTCTTCCGGACATCGGAACAGCTGTTATAGTGCCCCCTGGAAGGCATTTTGACAGATCTTTTTCCATTGGATGAACGCTCTACAGCCGTCGAATAAAAACGCTCGTTACATTACATGCGACGTGTTGGGCCTCAATATGGAGACTGCGTAGCGAAGTTTTAGTAACTTTCATTTAGTTAAGCTATGTATTTTCCAGTTTCGTGGCCGCGATATTTAAATATTCCTTTGGACGAAGATTATAAAGTGCTTTACATTACGTCTAACAGGGAAAGAGTTGTCTATTGCGTCGTCACTGGTCATGAAATCTCCATTTGGTATTGCAAGGTTTGTCACTAGTGGCCTAATTATCATAACCTCATATTTACTTTAGTGTATCGAGGTCGACCAAGTGTCAACTTCGTTTCAGGTAAAGTGCAACGTAAACTTCCGTAGCATAGCAGTTACCCAATTTACCGGAGTGTTCGGTAATGCACCAGTAACAGTCATTACTGCACCAATAACGGTAATTTTTGCGCTGTGGCTATATGCCCGGCAGCGGCGCACGTCTTCGTTTCCTTAAATGCCCTGCATGTTCTTAACCTAACTCTAACCCTAACCCTAACCCTAACAAAAACCCTAACTCTAGCCCTAAACCTAACCCTAACCCTAACCCTAATCCTAACTCTACCTAACCCTTGTTTACTTGAGATAACGCTAAAAATTAAAAACTGCCCGGGCATTTAGGAATCGAAGACCGTGCCCGGCAGCCGTCAGATATACGCCGGCTGCGGGCATATAGCCACTGTGTAATTTTGTTGCCATGATAATAATAATAGTACATGGTAACGGTTTTACTTTTACAGTATTCATGATAACGTATACTACTACTTAGTATTACTACGAAAAAGCTTTGTACACTACTGCCTGGTACCTATTTAATGTGTATCGCCACAGAATGAAATCACAAAAGCAGCACATGTATGTAGCATAATAATCAACGTGGTAGTACATATGTCAATCTATCATATAACTGGTAATGGTATGATGCTCACCATCTTGGGGCTAAATGAACATAGATGTTTATGGGGATTGGGTAGAGCAGGTTAAACATTACTTGGAATCAGCTGGAGCTCCGGAACAAAATCTCCCGGCAAAGTGAAATTTACGCGTGGGAAACTCAAAAATGAAAAGGGAGACACCGATCTAAGGTTCCCGTTCAATACAGTCCGAGCCGACGCAGACCCCAGTAATGGCGGGTCTGCGCGCGTCTATCCAATCACGGAAAGCCACCTCCAGTTTGGAGGTGCACTTATAAGTATTATATAAATATACTGGCCGCCCATATATACAATCTATTGCGTGGAACTTACTTTAATCTGAAACTTAAATCATTTATCTATGCGTGCATGGCACGCTATTATGTCGCTGGTAGCCGCCACAACATAAATTATAGTATCAAGTTGTTAATACGTAATGTATATATAAACATCCAAAGAAAATGTTCTGTGCTCATTCACATTTGTCACCAATGAAAATCACTATCCGGTTCTTCGGCTATCCGCGAGTCCACAATAGGAAACACCGTAGGATAGTGCTGCGCCATCTATTATTTTTTCAATGGATTGATATTTCGGCGAGTGAACCGAGCGCTATCCGAATTGAATTTCATTGGTCGACGAAATATCTGTCCCAATATGTCCAAAAGTATCGTAAGCTTACTCTCGACGGGGATACGATAAATAATTGCATGAAAAGCACCTTCTGAAACGCGGATAATCATTCGGAAAGCGATATTGACATAACAGAGCGGTCTGTACTTGATATTTTGCGGTCGGATATCACCCCGTCACGCCCTCAGCTGCTACTCGATTCACATATCATGCCACACAAGCAAAAATTGCAACAATTGTTACAAGGTGACTGCAGCAGACAAACCGCACCCTGATTACCAAAGCGAGTTATAACGTCTGCATTTGCGACTACGTTGCATGACATACACATACATACATATACATGGCGACACCATCGAATTTGGCCTGTTACTGTTACGGTTAGTCGACTAGCGTCCACCCCTGCAGCAGTAATGTTGTGTCATTTTTTGACACACATACCTGCATAATGTTTGATACTTTCTGAGTTATGAAAATTTATACTATTTGTTAATTTATAATGAATAGGTTCCATAGGATACTTTGCCATAATTGAACCACCGGAATGCCTAGCCAGTTATCAGCCGCACATACTAGTTATGTAAAAAATAGAGTTTACATGTGACATTCTTGGTATTACTACCGGTACGTCTACTAAAGGTGCAGCTAGAAATCAACATATAACATATAGCCTATAAAATGTTTACGTTGGAATTGTGAGAAATCCGGTAAACGCTAGAGACACAGATGCTAGTGTGAATAATCTTGCATGTGTAGAGTAAAGTTTACACTCTGGCATACGCTGTCAGTGCAATTGTGCTGAATTAGGACATTTTAAAAGATCGTGTAAAAATCGCCACTGTGATAAGGTATATATTCACTAATATCTGCATTATTCAAGTGCAAATGGTGAAGAACTTCCATGACGAAAACGCCTATTTTACTAGCTTAGGGGACCTTTTCCTCAAAATATTTCTGCAACAAAATCATACAAGCTATTTGCAATCACAGCCGTTTCATTGCCTTTGTGGCATGATATAAGATTTCAGCTGCATATATGTTAGTTGTACTCTCTCTGACACTGCTCCTGGTCGTGCCTGCACTTCCACCATTAAACCACGAGCCTCGTGGTATATAATCTGCCGACGTATAAAACGATATTGTAGCAGCTGCGTACGTACGACTCTGCCGTAGTCTGTGTCCTCGCGGGTGTGTTCGGTGGGTAATATCAAACGTTAGCAGAGCAATAACTCATCTGTAACACCTGCAGCATGCTCACTGTATAATGAGTTTTTTAAGTGCTGGCACGCAAACGTCTTTCGTGACTTCCGCCATTCCAGTCTTGTCACTGGAGGACTGTAATATCATTGTCTATCTCAGTGGTGTGCTAGTGTGTAGGGTGTAGCTATAAAAACTGCTTATAGTTACATTTATCTCAGGGGTGTGGGTTTGCAATTTGCATTGGCTAGATAAATTACAACGTTAGGGATTAAAATGAATCGATAGAATTAGTTCCATTCCTATTTAAAGATTGAAGCGTCTGTACCACATAGTGCACTTGTAAAATAGAATGTGCATTTTGTCGTGCTTACAACTGAATTGTTTTCGATGCTTTTTTTCTAGCCATGTGTTCAAATCGTCAGTCACAGGAGATCGGATAATTCTGTTTCTTTGCTCGGATCGAACAAGTGTGCCGTGTGGAAACCAGACTCGACCTGCATTGCTGTAGTGGTGTGTATTCCATGGTGAAGACTCCCTGCATTTCTCGCTTTTTACACTAACTTTGTGTCATTAAGGTTGATCGCTAACACAGTGAATACATTCAGCAACTTATACCGAGGATAGCTGAATTTCTTGTCGCCATATATTCTATCGAAGCACGTACTTGTGTTTATTTTAGTTAAAATTCTTGGGGCATATACCAGAGCTTTGGAGATAGTTGCGTGTCGGATGAATTTCTGTCGTGTCATACCAAACAGTCACAGTAGATAACTTGAAATGAAAGACACTGACAGATTAGAGCTAAAGTAGTAACATATTTGATATCAAGATTCCCCCAGAGATGTTGGCTACCCCTTATATGGATATTCAGTTAAACGGTGTTAGATAGTTGTTCCAGGCTGTAAAAATGCACGCATGCACAGATCAGCACAATCACTAATTCGGTGACGGTTTGTTTTTCTCGGTTGTTTGCCATTGTTAAATCTTGCTTGCTCTGTTACGCAGACCGATAAAGGTTATGTCGTGTTCTACAAGTTGGAAGTTGACAAGTCCGTGGGAAATTCTAGTCTGTATCAACAGCTGGACAGCAGGTACACATTAAGCATTTTGTACGCCATCTTCTATTATTGAAATTATAAATGTATCTCCGCGAGCGTGCGTGAATGCGGTACTTTATATGCATTAACGTCCACAACACATTTCGAAACTAACAGCTTTAAAATCGAACAATCTAAACAATTTTCGGATGCGAACTGAACGAGAATTTTCGCGATTTTAATGCTACCCATTCGAAAACAGATAATCGTATTCACATGAGCAATTTTAGCCACATCCACTTTGAATTCTTTTGCCATTAATAATGTAACTGCCTTTAGATAACTCTACTCATATCGAGTATGGTGTGTGTGTGTGTGTGTGTGTGTGTGTATGCAGTGTGCGTGTGCGCGCGCGTGTGTGTGTGTCGGGGATGGAATTCCTTTTATTTCTTGATAGATCTATACTTTGCTGTTTCTGCACGAGCAACAGATGAATAATGCACCCACGTATAATGATCATTAAAAGCACTCCGATGGACGGAACTGTCGCCGTAGAAAAGAAACGCGTTTTGCGAACGAATCAATTGTTAGATTTATTCATGCTCCCGCGCGTGCGTCTCCTGCCACGGTGACTCATCGTGGTCCTTCCCCCTCTCTCTCTCTGCAGATCACCGAGCTTCAGGCGGGATAGCGCGGAGCTGTTCCTCTCGGAGAAAGTTCCCGCTTTCACGCTCAACCCGGAGTTCTCCGTGCAGACCGAGGGTCTGGTGACGAGGTAAGACCTCGCGCGACAATGGCGTCGTCGAAAGTCGCTCGTGCGTCGCTTAGCAACGCTTTAATAAAGGTCTTTTATTGGTAGCGAGGTCCGCAAAATCCAGCCACGTACATCCTGCGCATATGTCATCGCGGCAAACTGGCAAGCACGTCACATAGCATTGCCTACTTTAATAATAGCTAGTCTCAGGGGAGAGATAGTGAATATAGAAATAAGTTGTGGATATAGAAATCAATTAAGCCTAACCCTAACCCTAACCCTAATCCTAATCCTAACCCTATCCCTAATTCTAAAATAAAACAAAATTAGCCAAAAATAATAAAAAATAAAATAAATAAGAGACAAAATTAGCCAATCAGAGCCGTCCCCTAGCGGATCACTATCTCTCCCCTGTGCAAAATTCCTTTAATAAGGGTCTTTCACTGGGAGCGAGGAAACATCCGTGGCGCGAAAGTTGCGTCGTCGAAAGTTGCGTCGTGTTGCTGAGCATGGCCTGCTTTAATAAAGGTTTTCATTGGAAGTGAAGCCTGTGAAATCTAGCCACCTACATTCTGTACGACCGTGGATAAGGGTTTATTTTCTGCGAGGAACCAGGAACCGCGCCAGCGTCTCGAGTGTTTTTCGGGAGGGTTTATCGAAGATTTGCGATGTATGTCTGGGTAGACGTGAGGTAGTGTGCTTCTAATGAATCTGCTGACAGCTTGTTAGCGTAGAGAAATCTTTTATCTGGCCGATTTAGCGAAGCTTTCTTTACGTGTTTAGTGCATTCGTCTAAAAATCACCGAGTCGATGCCTCTTTTTGCCAAGTTTTGCTTTGTAATTGATGTGATAGTGTCCGTATTGTATACGTGGTCTGTCACACGGTTTTCAACACCAGTAGCAGTTTATTGTAGCAAACATTTGGGGAGGGTTATAAGCAGAGGATATCCATGTAAACTATCATGCATGGGCTCAACGTTAAGTCCCGATTTACGGTGGCAAGAAAAACCAGCTGCGATGAATTTTGTAGGGAAATGCGGTTGTTATCTTGTAAATCGGTCCAAATAGATGTTTACAGGCCGACCGCCGCTGTATCGTTATCGTTATCTTTTGGTTTAAATTCCAGATTATGAAAAAATGTCGTGCTAAATACACTTATACTAGATAGAGCTATTTGAAATGTGCGTGATAGGATCGTATGTTTAACAACTTGTGTCATATACTTAATACGCGGCCTAAATACGTCGCTCTCGGTGTGTGAAAGTTTATCTATTGGCTTTATCATACATGTACGTTTGTGTAAATGTATGTGTGATTTTAGGAATATGTGTATCAAGAGTAGATAATAACACATTATTGTGTTATTATCTACTCTTGATGTGCATCTATACGTGCATGCGTGCATGCGTACATTTGGGTGTATGCATGTGTGTGTCTGAGCTTGTGTGTGCGTGTGTATGCGTGCATGTGCGTCTGTGCGCGCAAACGTGCGTGAGTACATGCATGCATGCGTGCGTACATGCATATATAATCCACTTGTGTATTTTTTAACCCTAATCTTTACATGATATGTATATTTCCGCAGCTTGGTGCCAATACGAGATGAGCTCGTGCTGTGTTTGGACACGGGAAGCGTACAGCGGCTTAAGTGGGACGGCACGCTCAACTCCGACATGTGCTACGGTCTCGGACGCGTCCCCTTCTCCATCGACCAGGAGCATTCCCGAGGTAAAACTACCTTCCCTCTCCCGCCTGCAAACGGACAGATACACAGCGACGTTCACGCACAGAGTATATTATTCGGCGGTCGGCGTATAATGAGTTATATGCGGAGAGTTGCTGCGTGTAATGAGAGATAGGATAGAGGATAGAGAAAGAGGCAAAGAGAGAGAGAGAGAGAGCAGGATAGAGAAAGCGACAAAGAGAGAGAGAGAGAGAGAGAGAGAGAGAGAGAGAGAGAGAGAGAGAGCAGGAGAGCGTTGGGGTCAAGGTTAGGGTTTAATAACATTTATTCATTACGAGGAACAAAACTCGACTCGTTTTCTCGTGCGGTTGTCGTTGCAGCCGAGGTGTTGGAGGGATCGGGTGCGCACATCACACACATGGAGTACTCACCTCTGATGGCCGGGTTCGCCGTGGTGTTGTCCGACCACCGCGCTGCCTTCCTCACCGCACCCACGCTCAAGTTCGAACCTACGGTACGTCAGGGGGAAGGAGGTGGTTGGGGTCCGCACACGCACACGCGTGTATCGCTGCGCGAGTGAATGTCTTGCTACATGCACTACTATGCTGGTACTACGACTGCTACTACAACAACGCTACTAGTAACGCAACATGAAGTTAAGCAGTGTGTTACATTAGTAGCAAGTAACATAATTGTTAGCGCTACATCACAGTACACTGCTAACTAGCAGCATGATTGCAAGCTCTACTTTACACTAGTTACTAGCAAAATAAAGTTAAACATCAAAACCACAAACTAATATATGACCATGACCATATATATATAAGTTACTATGACCATGACTATTAAAGTTGGGAACACTCCTAATGGAGTATCACCCCAACATAAAGTTAAATGCCATTTTACTCTACACTGGTTACTAGCAACATAAAGTTAAGCAATATGCTACACTACACTACACTACTACACACTACTTTACACTGCTCTAGTAACTAGCAACATAAAGTTAAGCAATATGCTACACTACACTTCACTACACTACTACACACTACTTTACACTACTCTCGTAACTAGCAACATAAAGTTAAGCAATATGCTACACTACACTTCACTACACTACTACACACTACTTTACACTACTCTAGTAACTAGCAACATAAAGTTAAGCAATATGCTACACTACACTTCACTACACTACTACACACTACTTTACACTGCTCTAGTAACTAGCAACATAAAGTTAAGCAATATGCTACACCAAGGGCGTCGGAACTGCCGCGGCAGCCGCGGCGACCGCCGCGGCACTTTTTTCAGGCCATAAATTTTCCGTAACCAAAATCTTTCAATAATTTATACCGTCTTTTGGCCGGTACATATATCATCAAGAGCAGATAAAGAAGCCTTCTTTATCTGCTCTTGATATCATGTATATACGTGTGATCTAGGCCCCTATAAGCGGAGACCAGGGTCAGATAAGGTCAGGTCACCTGTAGCTATAAAATTTTATGATCCAGAACTCTGGCACACATTCCTCTGCTCCCCGTCTACT